TCATCAGCGTGGCAAGCTGATTTGGTCACAACCGTCTGTCTCTCTGTATAGACGCGATCTCAACTTTTGAGATTTCGATTTGGAATTTGGCACACAACCTTTTCTACCCAAAAAATTGCTCATTTGACGGCACCACTGATAGTGGACCACTATAGCATATAGCTGCCATGCAAAAATTAAGCCTTTGGAAGGAAAATTATTTTATTAAGAAAGATATTTTCACGAAAATCGGCATACATTGTTTTGTATCTATCATCCTAATTGAATTCTTGATATCAAAATAAATATAACTGCTTTGACAACCGATTATTCCATTTCGTGAGAAATCTTTGATTAGAGAACGGCTAACAAAATGGATGCCAGATGGTTTTCCTATCATTTGCAAGAAAAACAAACTTAATTAAATCTTTAAATTTTTAATTGCAAAATAAATATGAAGGCGGTCAATTTATTAGCTTTGGCTTTGCATTTTTACTTCGGTCTCCTAATCAAGAAATGCTTACTAAAAACTTTAATACCTTTTCCTCGTGATTACTTACATTTAAGCTGTTTTGTTCACGAATAATAAATGGATTTGTATTACAAATATTCTAGCAGCTTAACTCGTCAACTGGTTCGCAGGTTAAGCCTTATTTAGTTTTTTATTATAATATTTGAAAAATATGTATTTCTTGAATACTTGAAGAACTAGGTACATGATACGTTTTAGGCCCTTAATTTATTGTAAACTCGCTTATTGTTGACACCTGATTTAATTACTTTTGCAATTTTCCTTTTTTTCACTTTTGCAATTTTCTTTTTTCTTTTACGAGATAATCTAACTTTTTCACATGTCTTCATTCTTTGGTGATTGAATGGTATTTATGTATGTAGGTCTATTAGAAGGTCAGGGCGTTGACACACATGTGACAATAACAAAAAATAAAACAAAGGGGAGTGAAAACAACGCTTGCACGCAAATAAAATGTTGCTGTCAGTTTTGAGGAACGAGCTTCTTAAGCAACGGTAAGTGATTGCATTGATTATCTTCAAATATCAGCTTGTGATAAAGGAAGAAGTAGATAAATTCTCTAGCAAAGAACAAGTTATAAAATTATGGCTAAAGTTGGATAAGAAAATTACAACAAAATCGAAATTTTTTTTACTAAAATATATGTCATAAAAGCAGTTTAAGTTAAGGAGATCTACAAAAGTTAACGTTATTTAATTAAAAGAAAATTTAATTAAATAATTTTCATTTAAATGTCTAGAAATATACTTAGATTTTCTGCAGTTACTGGCTAGCATCCAAAGTTATAGCATCTAATTACAAATTCAATCCACCAAAGCAGCAAAGCGACCAGCCCTGAGCTAAACGAAACATTGCAATTTAATGGCCCCTGCAGTGCTGCTAAAATAGTTTTAGTGCTTGAGTATAATTTCCAACTAAACTGTTTACACAAGCCATTGGCGTTTGGGCTATAACCAGCTGTCAAAGCTGTAGCAGTACAATGATGGATTATGGTCATACATAAGTTAATGCATATAAGAAAGCACACACACATGCGCAACAGATGCATATACATATAATAACTATACATGTATACTAATATGACAAATGTGTGTGTATCAAAGAGCCTGCTATCCGCAAGATATCCGCAATGGTTATTATCATGCTGAGCAGCACACGTGTAGTTTGCTGATAAGTAGCGGTAACTGTGAAGCAATCACATGGACACATCGGTGCATGCAATTATGTAAGGCTTGATGCAGTCTGGCATCAAATTGCAACACATATACAGCATATTAGCGATTGTATTAAATTACATAAAGACAATCAACTTAAACTACATAAGTAGTGGCGCTGAAGAGTGAAGTGAAAATGCAGACGATACGATGATGCTTACTACAAAAAACAAAAAATTAAAAAAAAAAAAAACTGGTAAAACTTCAACAGCTAAGAATACTCTGATGAAGGTGAATCTTTTGTACCTAAGCACAAAATGACTGAGACCCGATAAGGTCAATATAAAATGAGGAGCTCAGGATCTGCACTTGATCTTATCGACACTGTACTAAACATATGATACATTGATGTGAGAATAGTGACTCTCAGAACTAAGCTCTCATATTCTTAAGGAAATTTCCGAACATTTTTCGAACTGAGGTTTTGCAGAGATTAACCTAAAGCAGAAATTTCATAATCAATGCATTATCATAAGAACTAATATCAAACACTTAGTAAGCAAATTAAATCTTTAATGATCTTCAAGTGTGTTATAAGGCTTTATATATTTAATCATGGAAAATGAAATGACAAACTATTGACTTAGAAGGCGACGGAATATAGGCTGATAGTAAACGAATTTTCTGCCAATGAATTCTTTGAATATAGTAGTAGAATATAGTCATATATAATGAAGCGAGTGACAATTAGCAGTTAAGAAACAAAGCTAATGACCAGTTATACCATATATTGTAGACAACTTCTCTTCAGCAGTTTCCTGACTTTGACAGTTCTACACACTAAAATAGGGGTTGATAGTATTCGATAATATACACCATTTTTGCAATGTTGGTAAAAAAATATTATATATCTCATAAGTAAAGAAAACATAGCTAATACCCGCAAGCCAATACCCAAAACCAAAACTCGACTACATTTCGTTTTTGCATTCCAAAATATCAAACATACCATGAAATTGATTTGGAATAATTTTTGTTGCACATTCGAATTTTCCAGCTTCATTGCACCACGTCAAATTGCATATTAATGAGAAGTGCAATTAACGGAAATTCGCGTATATCAAATGTGTACAATAGCAACAAAAGCGCACAAATAGCATATCAATTACCGCGATTCGTGAGAACAATGGCAAATGAAAGACAAAAGAAAAACGCATGAATCATGTGGCAATGAAGGGAATATACAATATAATAAACGAAAACGAACAAATATTTGCATGCAAATACACAAACATATATATATGTGTAGATGTATGCTTATGCTATATACTTGTATAATATGTAGGAAGTATAAAAGCGGCTGCTATAATGCAAATTTAATTGGAAACTAATTACAATAACACTTGTGTGCAATTAATAAAATGTGGCGAATAATTTTTTGATTTATTTGCGATTGAAGAGTGTTTGTGTGCGTGTATGTGCAACAGGCATACATTTGCCTGTCAACTTTTGCAATTTGTGGAAGAATAAATTCATAATCACACTTCGATTTGAATGAACAAAAGGGTTTTGTCAAATTTGATATTTCCGATGATTATTAAATCGCCAAAGAGGCAATAAATTTTCTAGCATGACTGTAGTCAAGCGGAAAAATGAATAGTAAATAATAAAAGATTAAGAAAAAGCCTTAACTTCGGCTGCAAAGAAACCAAAATATCTTCGCAAGTGCTTTTCTTTTGACATACAAGTTGAAGGGCGTAAAAATATGTTTATCTTGAATTTGATCGCTTGGTTTGTATGGCAGCTATATGTTATAGTAGTCCGATTTGAACAATATATGCGGATATTGTAGCGTTTTGGTGGATAATAAGCTATGTAAAATTTCGTGAAAATATCTCGTCAAACAAAAAATTTTTATTACTGGACTTGATTTCGATCGGTAAGTTTGTATGACAGCTCTATATATTTGTTGTCCGATATGAACAATATGTTCATAGTTAATAGAATTGAATAATAATTTGTACCCAATTTCGTGAAAATAATCTGTAAAATAAAAACCATTTCCATACGAGGATTTGATTTGGAACGATCATTATATATGGCAGCTATATGCTCTAGTGGTTCGATAAAAATTTTATAAATAAGCAGTCTATTGGAGACAAAATGACGTGTGCAAGATTTCAGTTCGATAACTCAAAAAATGAGGGACTAATTTGCGTGTATACAGACAGACGGACGGACAGCCGCACATGGCTAAAATGACTAAGCTCGTCATGCTCTCATTCAGATATTAATTTTTAAGGGTCTTTAACGTTTCCTGCTTAGTATTACAAAATTTCCTGTTCAGGGTATAAATATTATATAATAATGTTTGTTTTACTTGTTTTAAAATGTGATAACCCAAGCACACACATATTTACATATATCACTTGAACAAGGTTTTTAGCTCCAATGAATTACATTTATTATATAATGTGGCTACAACATTTCACTTTATTGCATTCATCGAAAGCAATTTCGCAGTAATAGCATTTATTGAGTGATTAAGAGTAAAAGCCACTCATATCGTTTACAAACGTAACTATTCATTAAGTTAGTTTGTGCATATGGTAAATATATTGAGGTTATGTAAATGAGCGTAACTAGTACTTCAACTAAAATCAGAATTGCATATGCTATGATGAATCAAATGCCCCTTAAATAAACAGATATATGGTATCAGTTAATTAAGTTTTACAAGTTGTGTAATGCACATGTTAACGCACTAGAGCCCAGCAAAGCAAATATGTATATACATCCTAGAAATGCTTTGTTGCAGCAGAGAGGCACTATTAATGACCTCTGAGAATCGTTATTCGCTAATTGGGGCGAGAAATTTATGTTACTGACAACTCTGACAGGTGCATGGTTTTTGCTTGCATGAGGGCAGAGGTAATAAAGCTGAGCGAAACGTATGAATACTGTTAGGGGAGTACAAGTGTTTACAAAACCTTTGAGCAACACGCTTCGCTTCTATATAAAATATGTATAATTTGAGTTATTTGAGGTCTATTCTTTAATGAGCATGTAAGATAAAAGCCTGGCTTCACAAAGGACTGTGCATAGCCGTCTAAGTGTGGTCCATCTAAGCTAAAGATAACTAAATATAATATCATAGTAATTTTCAAAACTGAGACCAAGACTAAGTAGAAATTATGGGTTCCACGAAGCAAAGATATTGCTAAAAAAATAAAGCTGTACAAGTTTTTGACCTCATATTACGAACAGATTAGAGCCAATATTTGCCATTTTATAGTTGGAAAATTCTAATTTAACTGTAATCTTATTCTACTTACTTGTAATCCTCGGTTTCGTACGTGTGGAGAGGGCAAGCCGAGTAGCACTTATGTTCGTGCATAACTAAATGATGCTCACAGCTGGTGCAATAGTCGGGACGATCTTGACACGAGGCGCAGTTGGCTTCGCATGGCACACAAGTTTTGTTGTCATAGTCTACGAATTGGTAATAGTGGAAAATTAAATATTATTGATACACTTTAAATAAAATAATTAAAAATAAATTGTAACATCCTAATATTCTTGCCTAACGATGTATTAGAAAGTGGGTGTCTAGGTTTGAATTATAAAACTAGTCACTGATATATTCTTATAAATCAATAAATACTACTTTTTTATCAATATTGATTTTGAGCTATATTCCATCATCTATACTGGTGCTAATGTGGATACGCTGCTCATATTATATTCTATGCTTTTTCCTACTTACTTTCATAATATCCATCCGGGCAGACTTGCAGACATACAGCCAGATCAACGACATGCAAATGAGCTGGCGCACATGTCAGACAGCTATCTTGTCCAGCACCAGCGCAAGTTTCGCAGGACTCATGACAAGGCCAGCAAACGCCACCCTGATTGGGGAATGAGCGCGGTGGACAGCGGCTAACACAGGTGCTGAAAGGTGAGGTAAGGAAATTATTGTATCAGTGTGTTAGATATATTATTCTATATATATTCTACTCACTTATCCAGACGGTAGTGCTTGCAGGCGACACATTGCGTCGGACCACGTCCATAGCAACCCTGCGAATCACATTCGGGATCGCAATCATGTAATACTAGCTTGTTGTTGGAGTCAGCCATGACATTCTGACGCTGAGGTGTGGGTATATTGTGACCATCTACGGTGGCGACCGCTTGCTCGGGATTCGAGCCGGCGCCGGTGAATAAATTTTGAAAGTTCAGATAACCGGCGAATTGATCGGCATTATAGTAGCCACCCTCGTTAGGCGGTTGACCTAAATCCGACTCAGTTGGATAGGTGTAGGGGTTAACGCCAGCCGAAATGCGCATCTGCTGCTGCATCAGATCGCTCTTCAAACGCATAGGCTGCACAGCGGTGCCATAGAAGATTAGTTGCCACTTGGAGAGTATGCCTGGTTGATTGACACGTCGACGTCCACCATTTATAACTTGTAGCGTCCAGCGACCTTCCGCTTTTTCACCCCAGAAGTGCACACTTAAGAAAGGCCAATCATCAAAGTTCGACTTCACAATATCACGTGGTCGCTCGGTTAACAGCGTGCTGGTAGTACCCATTGGCGAAGTAAGTAGGATGCGCAGATTACCACGTGGAAAGAAACGCAAGGTGATGCGACACTGCACATGCTCCAGATAGCGTACTTCATTGATCGTGCCCGCACAACCGTTCACATCCATGTGTGTGGCCAGCGTGTAGCCGGGCGAATCCTCAATTTTACGGTCCTCATTATTTTCACGCGACTTGCAGATATGCTGCGGCGGTACAGTTGTCCATTGCTCGGCCAAACTAACCATAGCGCCAGCGTCCATCAGGCCATAACCGAACTTGTGGCTGTACTTTCTCTTGACACCATTCAAAATCCAACCACTCTCCTTCTCCAGTGGACTGGGACGTGAGGTGTAGACGACGAGGTATTGCATATCACGCCAGGTGAGATTCGGATTGGCTTCAAGTGCAAGCGCGCAGATGCCTGCTGCTAGTGGCGCAGAAGCGGAGGTTCCAGTGTGTTCGACAGTGCAAATATGATCGGGGCGTAGGCGACCATCCATATCAACGGTGGCAACGCTTTTGTCATGGCCAGGCGTGCCTGAGCTGTACGTGGTGGCGAGTGTGGAAGAGCATTCTTCCAGGTACCAGGGTTTGTAACTGAAAATATGAGAAACAGAAAAAGAGAGAACAACATTATTAAAAACATACTTGTAGTATTGAAGCAATACATATACAGCGTCTACCAATAGGGATGACGTGATTTTGACAACTCGTGGCGGCCATGTTTGTTCACGGACTTGTGTGAAATTTTGTCAGTGTGTTCAGCAAAGCTTGCCATTTCATTATGTAACGTTTCACTTTGGTACAATGCTTGGAAATTGCCCAAGATTATTACGCAAATTCACGTTCTGCGAAATATTTACGAAACTCGCGTTCATCGAAAAATCATACTTTCAGATCAGTTCCATTTCTGACTTCATCAACATACAAACGCTCTTTACGCGAACGATCCCTAGTTCCAATAAGGTGTTTCACGTCTAAACATGAACATATTGCGTGCAAAGTTTGGCGACTTGTTAATTTCGAGAAATGGCCCAGTCAAATGGCCACCAAGTTCATGCCTTTAAATTATTTTCTTTGAGGGTATGTTTAATCAAAGGCTTATGCCAATTCAATAGCAACGCGCGAGAGAACTCGAAGACAACAACATTCAGCGAACGTCGTTCTTGTTACTAGACCCTGCATATGGGTTTATGAATATGATTTTTATAATGAGACAGCAGCTAAACCCAACTCACATATTTCTGTCAGAAGAGGTATGCCTATCACATCCAAGACCAGTACCTAATATAATATTCATATTTAACTCAACATACCAATTTTAATAATAAAACTGACCGTTTTAAATATGCCACGGCATTTTACGTCGATCCGTTGGAAATTCTTGTCTGCAAAGGCGAAACTTTTAACAGTGGACTGCGACTGTAAAAATTCGGTATTGGTTCGAAACTCGGTGCCTAGTTTCAACATAAGGATGCTTCGAACCTTATATGTATGGATTGAAATTGGTCTACAAACCATACTACTATTTTTCCCTTGCCTACTGAGAGCAACGTTCAGCTAAGTTGCCACTGGTGTCACATATTTCATATACTTTACTTCGTAGCATAGACTCGTTTGGGTTTTAATGAGTACGGACTGATAAAGAATGACAGTCGAAGACAAAACACAAGCAGTTTTCAAGAGTTAAGAATGGAAATGAAAGGAAAGCTGTGTTATAACGTTTGAAATATAACTAAGGCTAAGCCTAAGGTGATTCCACGAGCATGACTAAAGATTCTGATGTGACTTTAGTCTACCCTGTAAGTTAGTTAGACCCTAGCCAAAATTTTTTAGAAATTTAGAAGAGAGATCTTCACCTCTGTTGGTAATATCAAGCAGAAAAGTCTTTACTGATATCCTGAACTGATTTAAAATCATTTCAAACCTTGTCTATGCCAAGGAAATAGTGTACAACTTTTTAATTCTAGTGAGTTCGAAAAACCAATCCCTTTTGAACTCACTTTGAATATTAATTTTTGAGCTCAAGAAGTTATGTCTGATAAATATTAATTTGCCTTAATGTTGTTGCGTTCACGTTAATTCGGACAGGCATAACATACATCCGTTTATCTAAAAAGACTTAAAATCCTAAAAAAATGCACCACAACTGTTATTTATAATTTTGTTTATATCACAGGCGTTTTGTGAAACTTTAAAAATATACCGTTAAGCTCTTAATTGGCAATTAACAAGCACGCCTACAAAAATATCGCAATATAAGTTTATCGCACTTACTTTACGCAATTTTAGGTATGTAAATTATGCAATATCATTTTATATTATATATTTTATATTAATAATGATATGGTTGCGGTTTCACGCACACACACACGCACACACTTGCATATGGCAATTTTCATTTTAAAATACCATAAAGCCGCTCATTAATTGCCAATTAAAAATGAAGCAAACGTAGTGACGTAAGCTATATGCTTAAATACGCCTAAAAGTAGGCCAGCACTCACGCAAGCACACTAATTTAGTGTCGCTACAGAGTGACAGCGCTTAAGCGACAATTTTAACCTCAAAACCAATCATTTTAAATAAGTATAAATGTGAAATGCTCACAAATATTGAATAAATATGCAAATTAGTGTCATTAAAAAATATAAAAAAAAAAAAACGAAATAATAACGTAGTGGTAAATAAATAATTTTGGCACTAGTTATGCGCCACCTCAGCGCAGTCAAATAGAAATTTCAAAGTTTCATTTAAATCATTTGGAGCAAAAGTTCATGCGCAAAATACACAAATACTTTTGAATAATTTTCATAAATTGCAAGCATGCGTTCAAAAAGTATTATGAATACATATTTGGATATACATATGTAAACAGTTATTTAGCTTTGTTTTTTGTTTTTTGGGCGCTACAAATAGCAATTTTCATTTTGGTTATAATTGATTTTAGTTGCATATATGCTTGATTGCTCGAAAGCAACAACAACCTCAATACCACTAACAGTATTATTAAAATATTTTTTGTCGGAAATAAATAAATTGTTTAATTATAAAGTGTAGCGTTGTAAATATTTTACTATTTGCTGTGGTTCAAGCACCACATATTGCCCACAAATAAATCCATCCATATTTATCTACATAAAATTACAGTAAACTTATATTCAACTAGTGATGACTGTAGTCAGTCATGCCAATAATTCTAATATTCACATGTGTAATTATTCAGTTTTGTAACGAAATGAAAGTTAAGCAATCTTTGGCATAATTTTTAGTATTTAAAGTTTATGATCAACAAATATGGATATCTACTATATGCAAGTGCTAATAAACAGTCTGGATTACTGTTTGCAATAATACTATAAGTAATAAAAGAGTAGAAATTCATATTAAATGAATTTGAGGACAAAGTCTTTTTATTTTATTTATTTTTATTTTAGCAGAAGACGTAGCCGAAAACGTTTAAGCTATTTGTGAATCGAAATACCGAAATTTGCTTTGTATTTTGCTTAAATACATGGTTGTGCTTAAACTCATTCTCTGTTGAAATTGCAATGTCAAAACAATCGCAGTCAAAATCTTAGTTTTAATTACAAGCACAATCTCAATCACAACCACGATCACAATTTCAATCTGTATTTAATTCACAATATTAATCCCAATTGAAGTCTTAATTCCGCACTTATTCTTAATCTCAACTTCAATCTTAACCTCAACCACAATCTTAATCGCAATCTCGGTCTCAATTTCAATCTCAATCTCAGTCTCAGTCTTAATCACAATCTCAAATTTAATCTCAAAAACAATCTCAATCTCTATTTTTATCTGAATTCAGTCTCAATCTCTATCTTAATCTCAATCCCAATCTCAATCTCAGTCTTAATTTCAATCTAAATCGTAATCTCAATCTCAATCTCAATCTCAATGTCAACCTCAATTTCAATTACAATCTTATTATCAATCTCAATCTCAGTCTCAATCTTAGTTTCAATCTTAGTCTTTATCTCAATTTCAATTTCAATCTGAATCTCAATTTCAATGTCAATCTCAATCTCAGTCTCAATCCCAATCTCTATCACAATCTAAATCTCCATCTTAATCATAATCTGAATCACAATCTCAATCTCAATCTCAATCTTAATCTCAATGTCAATCTCAATCACAATCTCAGTTGTAATTTCAATCACAATTTTAATCTCAGTCGGAATCACAATTTCCATCCCAAACTCAATTTCAGTCTCGATCTCAATTTCATCTTAAAGTTCCATCTCATCGCTATATCTATCTGCATTTTATCTTTATATCAATCACACGATTTTCATCGTAATATCATCTGCCCCTTAACAGTACTATCTCCAAAAGCACGCTTATTTACATGTTAATCTTTTAATATTCACACACAACAACACATTTGCCTTTCGCCCACAAGCTCCTTCCACACGCTTCTCTTCACACCACCACTAAATGTACACATTTTCACAAACTTACCCGCCTTGTGTTGCACTCGAAATGGACAGTGTGAAAATTGAATTCGTATAGCCATCGCAATTGCACGAATCCGTATAGCGACCACCATTGCCCGAGGCCCAAACAAATATTGAACCTTTGCCTTGTCGCCCACTGGTGACGCCATAGATGAAAGCACGTCGCGCCAACGGCCCAGGTCCGTCAACAGTTGAGCCGTCGTCCTCGGGACCCCAAGAGGCACTGTAGATGTCAATATGTGATGGATTTAAGCTCAATGCCTGCGCCTCGACCACATCATTCACTTTGCCATCCAACATACGGACGCCTGCAAAAGGAAAGTGAGTGAGGAAATCAAATACAATAGTAAATGCCATCGGAAGCTAGGTTGATTTATAAAAGAAGATAAGCACAAATAAGGTATATGTGGTGGAGGAAGTTGAGTTAAATGGAACTGTTATATAAATACTATTCGGTCGCTCAGCCAAGTCATGCATTTTTGCGTTGCAAAGGACTAACTCTGTACTGCGCACAGTAACTTCTTTATACATCAAAATTAATGTAGTTTGTCAGTAGAGCCAGCTCGCACCATTAGTTTAATTTGTGCGCTAATAGATGATATTGCGGCAGCAACATGGCATGTGACAAGCTCTTTCTGTGCTTCAAATGGTTAAGAAAGAAAGCACTGAGCCTCCATTAATGTAATAAATTGAGCCATATAAAATGTACTTGTTTTACTTACCGCCAATACTCGCATTATATGCCACGCCTACACCGCAATAGTTGTTAAAGGCAACCGCAGCCACTTCACCAGCACACCTGGTACCGTGTTTGTTATCTCCGTTATCTTGTGGCGTTGGATCCGAATCGTTACCGTTAATATCAAAAGATGCATCAGGGTCCTGAAAATAGAAAAACGGGTTTAGCTTGGACTCATCTACAGATTTTTGACTATATTTCATATCAATATTGTATACTAGTATAATATAATCGTTTCTGACTCTTGGTACTTTAAGTAATCAATTAAAAAACTTTAGTTCTGCTAACTTAACATTATAGCGTAGATGAAAATTGGCGAAAGCGACTTTTTAAGGCAATTTTTTAGAACAACAAATTTGTGGCATACCACAAGGAAGCTTTTTTAGTTAGTTTTGCCTTGACCACTGTTTTTTAAGACACGCTTTTTGAACTTTGCATTCATTTTATCAGAAATTAAGTCGATGCAACATATATTGTTGGTTTAAGTAAGTTACTAACATGTAAATGTAAAACAAGATAATCAGAATATTCATGACTCCTTATTTTCTTGATCATTTCATCTCTGAAACACAAGCCTTCAGGCATTTCTGCATAGCTCTTTCAAACAACTTTATCTCAAATTTTATTTATACTAATAAGCATTACACATATCTATTAACTATTTCGATAGAAAGTATTATATATTGTCCAGCTATCATTAAAGAGTATATGTATGTAGTCCAATGGTTCTACGTTCCAACTAGGTACTACGGGAAAATATATATTTTCAGACATGTTTCGCAGGAGCTGTTCTTCTTGCCTGAGAATTGAAATTTTAACTAAAAGAGCATCTATGTATTACAGATTCTATCTACTCGCTGAACAGACAGATAACAAAACGGGTATGAGTGACTATGAAAAAGCAATCATAAAAGAAATGGAATTGATATTCGCACACACACAACACGCACAATATCTGAACTATAATCGATTATTTGGGTTTTAAAATAAAAAACGATGAGAGACTGCAACGGGTAATGGGTGGGTGTAAAGCAGGCATAACCGCTCTTTCTCCCTCATTATTTGTGCTCAGCTGTAAATATGTTTTTAGCGTTGGCGCTAAAATTTATTTACGAAATCATTTGGGAAATCAACGAAATGAATTTCTCCTCGCACTTTCAATACAGCGAGACGCCATTTGTTTCAACTGCGCTATGAGAGTGTCTATTTATGTGTGTGGGTGTGTGCTTATTGGTACCTTTCTGTGTGCCATTTTATAATGTTTCCTATTTTGATGATTTTTTTTTTTATTTTGCCAAGCTCCGCCATATTTTCTTTGTCATTTTTTGCTGTTTCAGATAGAAATTTTGTGCGCGCGAATAACTATGGCGTTGCGCTTTTACGGTTTGATATATATTTGTTGTGTGAATAGGTGAGTATTCACCGTCAAATGTGTAGGTATTACGGTTATTGCCGCTGGCGGTTTGGCAATAATTTTAAAAACAATCAACTCTTGAATTGTATGGGTCATTTATATTGTGGTAGTAAGCAAAGATGAGGTTTATGTTAACAAAAAGATGCAAAAAAGAATGGAAGAGAAAGGCAGCAGTAACTAAAATTTAATCATGTGAGTGTGTTGGTGCATTGGCAAAATGGCGCAGAGCACAGCTGCAACACTTTGTAATCCCACACTTAATCATCTTTACATTGCGCTCTTTAAATGATTGTTTTTCATTACGATTTCAGGCTCTCTGGGATTTGCGAAAATTTCTACTTTGTTAAAATAATAGTTAATTTCAGTTGTTGTCGAATTGCAATTTAAAATTTCTGCAAGCAGTTAATGTGGCTGATTCTAAATTTTTGCCACTGTGTGGTATAAAAGAACTAAAAGATTACAACTAAGCTTTTAATTAAAACACACAATGAGTATGCTAGCTCACAGCGGCGCGCGGAGTTGTATCTGGCGGAGTTACCGATTACATTGCATTAGGCTCGAATACTACTTGTACGAAAAAAGTTTATGATAGCAATCAACAGAAATCCTGCAATAAACCACTAACTTAATAAAATGAAGTAAACTGAATATCATCCCGGGTTTATAAGCTGTCTCTAAAGCCTCTGGGATTAGTGACTCCGTAACTCTCTGTATTCTTACATCACTATAGATCGAAGGTGTCCAGCAAATAACTCAATCAGCAATATTTAAATCACAATAATGTCACTCTGACATTACTTATCTCCATCAACTACTTTACTTTTGATTAAATAATATTCTAAATAAAACAAAAAAGTGCTAATTAAGTAAAAACAAAGCGCCGAAAGTATTCACATTCAAATAGAGTTATCTCTAAGTATATGTAAGTATATACAAATTTCTACTTTGTTGTTATTTTATTATAAATATATTTTCAGTGCCAACTATTTTTTGTTACTGGAGAAATTTTTGTGAGTTTGACTGTCACCTTCTTCTTGCTTTTTTAAGGATAGTTTGCTAAGCATCTTTTCTCTGGCTTTTTTCAGCACACGATTCACACTTTTTCATTTCATTAGTAAGTCTTGCCATAAATTCTGTTACAAAGTTTACAATGTATAAAGCGAGGTCAAATTCAAATATTAATAGAAACTGTGCGTGCTACTATTGATCAATGTCTGAATCGTTTGAGGGCTTGTGTGAAAGCATAACGTTATCAGTTTCTACAAAATTTTGTACATGAGCGATAGTGTCTATGTATATGCATTTTTAAATAAAATTTTCTTTATTAAAAAATGTGTTAGATGTGTTATTATAATTTGAGAATCGAATATTATTAGAAAAAGAAGCATGATTGTTAATAATGCTCACAAATCAATAATTTCCCTTTAGAAAAATAATTTTTTAAAGCTTAATCTGAAGTTTTGTGTAAAATATACAAAATCTTATTAAAAAGAAATGGAGACGAATATTTTGAACGAGTGAAAATTAACGAATACTTGATTAAATTCGAATTTTTCAAAGTCACTTAATTTTAATAACTTTTTCAAAGAAAGTATGAAAACCATTGAGTTATATGTACGGCAATCATTAATTGTTTGTTTATTTAAATTTAAAACAGAATATAGGCTGTGCAGGTAGTTTGCTGTAGGTCTGTCATCATTGTGGAGCTCAAAGACCCGAAAATATTATTTCCCAATTGCGACTATTCAACAAAACTCATTTTTTTTTTAATTTTATTTACAATATTTCAAAAACCGATTAATAATTTACCAATAACCTGAAGACAAAATTGTTTATTGTTTTCTGGTTGTAACATACAAATCATCTTTATCAAAATTTATCTTCATCTTTGTATGGATAATCTTGTCTGAAAAGTACTGTCCAAATATGAAGTTAATCTAAAAGAACTGAGCGAGTTATGTTTCTGAACATGGCGTAAATAGTTCAAGAGTTTTAAGAAAACTTTGATATAGCTTCGACCGTACAACAGTTAGTTTTAAACGGGATTGAAATACAAAACCTTTCGTTTGCAAATAAAATTAAAAAACCCAAAAAATTGGTTATTTAAATTATTCACATAAATTTTGAGGTTATGTGGAAAAAAAGTTAATACAACAGTTAAAGAACTTTTCATTACCTACAACTTTGCCATATAAGTTATTTCTATAGGACTTCCAGTTTTGCCGGAAATCAAGGTAAACTGTTTCGGCATTGGTCTAATACCTCTAAGATTTTGTTTGAAAATAGGCAAGTTAAATCTTATAACGTTCTTAGTTTAAAAAATATTTAATTGATGATCTATCAGTTCATTTGACAGTCAATGATATAGGAAAACTTGCGATATATGTTATAAAAATTAGATTAATGACCACAACTACCTACAGCGAATTATTAGAACTGGATGTGTGTAGCAGTCTCACTATAGTAAGGTATCAAACAGAGCGTGAGAGAAATACACGACAGCAATATACTGACATATACGGCATAAAGCTTGACTTAGAGTATGCGAGCATACCTCGAATATTAGTATATAAAATAATAAAATTTGCTAAGTATTGTATCCTTTCATAGGATGTTTTACTGCTGTTCATAACCTAAATTCTTAGTTTTTTTTCTTACTCGAACTTAATCCTTCCCACTTGCTTTCTTTTTTATCTTCTTTTGGTTTAAAGTTTTTTAGATAAATAGAAAATAAGGAAACCAAAGAAAAGCTTGATTTTACAATCAACAAAAGTTTAAGGTGAAGCATACTTCCAAACGAAATTTGTACTATTTACTATTTTATATTGCAAAAAATTTGACACAATGATATCAACACTCATGCTTATTTATAAGCATCTGCCGAATTGAAACCCTTTCACTAGCCAATAATAACAATAACATTTAACAGACCATCAACAATGCATACTTATTTTGTGCACTTTGTGTATTTCAAAAATGTCAAAAGAAATCAAAATAAACAACAATTTTGCAAAACAAAAAAAAAAAAAAAAATTAGGCAGCAAAAAATATCATTTATTCACTCGATGTAATTTTCGAATATTTCCAATCCGATTGAATTACTTTTCAATCACATTCTTTGGAATTTATGTTTTGTGCTCTTTTGTGTTGCCTATTTTTCAATAGTTGCAAATAAAGGAGAGCAAGCAAACGGCCGACGTTATTCGATAGCACCAAAAATATTTTCACTAAATGGCAGTTTACACACGGACTCTTTTATAACCCAAAACGGTTTATTGTAAGCGAAGGGACGACGAGGAAAGCCGAAGAGACCGAGCTACTTATGCTCGGGTGGCACGCACGTGTTCTTGTTCATAACAGTTCGCTGCTAAGCAATTCAGCATTCCTTTTCATTTTGAAATTTTTTTTATGGTTGCAATAACGCTTGGTTTCAAATATATATATACGATATGTTAGGAAATTTGAAGTTCGTTATCTATTTGTTGTATATAATAAGCAAATATGTATGGGTAAAATAATAAAAATATTTAAAAAAATTGTGAATAAGGAGAAAATTAAGATACTCAAAAATTTTTTTTTAATTTTTAATAACATTAAGCGGTATTAAATGTAATAATATATACATAAATGAATTCTAATAAAACTGTAGCTACAGTTACATTTTTATATTTACATAAAATATTAAGATGCTTTCATATTTATTTCTTTTAACCGCAAATGTTTTAGTTCGAGTAATATTTTATTTAAAAAAAAAGAATAGTAATTAATTTATGAATGTTTTATATAAAATAGAAAAAAGTATGGAGTAAAAAATGTATGAGTTTTTAATATTTGCCGAAAGATTGAGAAATTCCTGTCATACATTTGGCCTTGGAAATATTAGTAGCGGTTATTCAATATATTCTGGTGAATTAGAGAATACTCGACTTAAATATTTCTTTGAAAGTATTAAACGGCTATTATGCATATTGTTCTACCACATGCATGGTAATTCCTTGCAAGCAAAATGTGAGACCACCATTTCAACACACAAATGAAATATGCAACAGACCCTTAGTGTCGCGTAGCCGAATCGCAGAAACATTTGCCAAAAATATATGAAAAGGAAAGACAGAAAAACTCGTTTCGAATTGCTGGACTCTTTTTGCTCGTGTGAACGTACAGAGTGACACCAAAAAGAGAATTTGCGGATAATTAACGACAAAAGAGTCCCCATGTAAACGCAGTATAAGCTGACCGATAAACGAAAAAGCTATGACTAGAGGGCTGCAGGGCCAGAGAGCGGCATAGAGACAAAGAAAGAAAGAAAGAAAGAAATAGTGTAGTTATGCCTGAAAATAAAAAAATTACTGTACAAGGCTGGCAAATGAGCTGCGTAACTGATTGAAAATCACGTGATTTGCTTGCAAAAGTCTACATTTATAACTAAGAAGCAGTGCAGGAGTAAACACACACAAACACACTCATAAAAGAATTGAGTTGCAAAGAAATATCGACAGTAGCGGGAGACAAGAAGGTAAGCTGGCACAGCAGGAGCACCAAAACAAAATGTAATATTAAGCAGATGATGCGAGATGCTGCTTCGTATTTTTGCATTTGTATACACATACATATATGAATATGTGTGTGCTTTGGGTTTCTGTGAATACGCTTTAATGCCTAGAAGTAGGCCAGCTTGTTGGTTGTCTCTTTGAACCCTTCGACATCTTGCAAACAATATTCTTACATGGCTGACTTAAATGAAGGCAAGCCAAGCAAAATGCTGTAAAATAAATAAAATTAAAATGAAAAGCCTGCAAGCAAGTAAGACTAGACTGGCCACAAAACCACAATTCTGCAAATGACATTTGAAAATATGCCAAACAAGTTGATGAAGACGGTGCTGATGGCTGCGGTTAACGGTGTTCAATTTAAACTGAGACAACAGAACTGCATATTGGGGGCGTTTGAAAAGGAGCAGAAACTAAAATATTGTCATTGGTGATAATGACGACAATTTTTTATTTGTGTGTGTTTATTTCGTGGTTTATTTTCGAGGCAAACTTGCTGGTTAATAGTAAATATTTTGCGAAGATGCAAAAAGCGCTGTTTTCGTTTTTATCATCCGTCGATATGCTTAGCAGCAAAGCTTCTACCGTAGAAACGAAATTGAAAAGCCTCGAAAAGGCGATTAGTATTGACTACTTGTTGACTTTATTTGGCTATTTTTTCAATTAGTGCTTTAGCTATATATAAATAGGAAATAAAATCGTTTCTTCTTAGATATATCTTACTGCCTACAATGATCTATGGTATTCTGTAGCTTTTTATATTGAAAGGATTGCCTTTTTAATCAAAAAAGACCCTTTAAATTTAATAAAATAGTGCTTTTAATTAAGAGATTACAGAAAAAAACAATTGCTTTAATTTTTCTATTGAGCTAAAATGCTTTTGAGAAGTCTTATTGCCATTTTTTCATTAATTGATTGTAATTTATGTTTATTACGAATTTTTATAAGAAAATTTTCCAATCTACAGTGAGTGGTTACGGATACTCAACTTACTTACTATACTTAAAAATTTATTAAAAGCTTCTTTATAATTGGAGTTTAATTATAAAAGTCTGCCGAATTTTAATTATAATAATCATATAATAAATAGAATGCAATGCATTCAAAATAACTCCTACTTGGGCTTCCGGTCTTATGGCCGTACAATATATTGCTATTGCGCCAAAATGTAGGCAATGATTTATAAAAAAAATGTGTGTATAGTAAAAAGAAGCCCTCATAGAAACTGATAATTACAATTATTGAAAAGTTTAATGGAAGTAAAAAACATCAAGTCAAAAAAAAGAAGCAAAACAAAAATTAAATTGAGACTGTTTGGAGCATATATGTGCTCAATTCATAATAATAGAGAACTACCGAACTAATTGTAATTGGCAGGAAACACAATTGTTTCAGCATTTTAATAACATTGATCCATTCAATGATTAAAAGCACGCACTGATAGCAGTTTATTTGCTATATATATCTCCTAAAACACTCCACCCTTCTTCGATGAATCTAGTAAAGACCAAATTAACGAGTCATTCGAAAGCCTCCGATACTAGCGCCATACTTTCTTTTCTGTTTTGCTTTGTATACTTTACTTTAATTACTTAAATATTATGTAATTTTTTTTTTCAAATAACAAAAACAAATCTAATCTACTTTTCACAAATCATTTCAAACTGATTAGTAGTATGCAAAGTTGCCTTATAGTTCGACAACTTTCTTGCATTAAGAACTTCAGCGATTTTATATTTTTAAAGAGAAATTTATTATTTTATTTATATATAATTTTATTTATAGCAGACAATTTAAGAAAATTAATAGAAAAAAATATTATTTATTTTTGAATATGAAACTGTTTTATTACAAACTCATAAATAAATCCGCAACTGTAAAACCGCAGGTCGCTAAGCAACGAAGAGTAAATTTTTCTGAGCGCTATAGCAAACACGATCATAATAAGATAAGGATAAACCGAATGCGACATGTAAATGCCGCAACTTTCACCATTTATATGCAAATATAGAAATATGAGCAACGGCAGGTCGAGAGATAACCAGTTTGAATGTACAAAAATACAAACAAATAAATAAGTACAAGAAATGGAAAGAAATTTGTGTTACCAAAGCGATTATATCGCCAGCGAGACAGCCTAGAACGTAAATAAATAGGCGATTATGCGAAACAAAGTGCGGCGATTATGCGGCGGACGCGAGATACATGTACTCCCATGCATTCCCAAGGCCCAAAAGTCACTTGTAAATTTAACATCAAGTAGACATGCAAGTTTAGAATGACTAAAGCCAGTAGAAAAGTGAAATTTCAGCTGAGTACAAACAAAATACAAAAGTAGTTAAGCTTTAAAAGGCATTTATTGCAAAAGTTGCGCATACGCCCTGTAGCGCCTATGGCCGATGTATAGCGTTGCGTGGCGCAACCACTTGCCGCTTAAGCGTAAGCAAATTTGTTTTTGATTTAGATTCAAAGCGAATTAAGTTGTTAGACTTTTTCAATTATTGTCTGCCATTACAAGTATATTGCCAAAGTTTTCGGCTCGGCCTTTGTAAATGCTCGAAAGACTTAAAGTTTAATCTCAAAATATAATTTGCCATAGCATTTATGTACACATTGCATATAGCTGTAGAATTATAAATATACACCATTGTAAATATATATAGGTATGTGTAAGCAAATATCTATATTTGTTTAAGTACTTACATAATTTTGTGCAAGGTCAGGATGATTCGTTTGTATGCCATCATCGAGTATGGAAACAACAACGCCTTTGCCGGTGTAGCCTTTCTGCCAGGCGGGCCCGATATTCATATCGAGACCATCTTTGGCGCCACCATTCTGTGGAGTGCGGTGATTGATGTTGTTTGTTGGTTGTTTTTGTGTTTTTTTTTCGTTTTTTGTTGTGCCGTCAAATGAATTGAAAATTCGGTTTGCGAATAGCAATATATTTGCGGGCCATATGTAAATAAAATATTGCCGTACATAAAAGAGAGGGGAAGAGAGAGAATAAGAAATAGAAATTTATATTATAATAACGGTATAAGAATTGTAATTTTTATATATTGCATGTAGGTATGTAACATGCACTTTTACCATATTTTTCTAAAATAAAGAGGAAGTTAATATATGCAGCAAAGCTTTAAAATATTATACAATTTAGTATAAGCATACTTTTTTCTACGATATTAGTATTATGTTTAAAAATTAATTTTGGAATTTAAATACATTTACACTATGCAAAAATACTATAATTTTTAACCGGTTTTCGAATAACCTAACAATGCTTACAAAATTTTAGTAAATATATTTTTACTACGAAGCAATAAAATAAATTGCAAAAAAAAAAATATTAAATAGTCTATAAATAAGCAATATTTTATGTTAGAGATAGTTTTGTCAATTTTTAAGCTTAATGAGTCCTCGTCAGAGATACTATTAAAGCTCGAGTAAACTTCTCTTCAATTGTGCTTTGCTAAGTTCGCCTGAGCTTGAATGAAAATGTTAAAAAAAATGTTTGAATATTTGCCCATATTCCTAAAAAATCTGGTATTTTATTGAGCATAATTTTCTCCACACGAAGCTGCTCATTTATCGGAGCCGCCGACATCGGACTACTATATATGTTCTATACTGAGCTTATCAAGTTCTTGTTTGGACAACGTTTTTATTTTATGATATATCTTTATGAAATCTGGAACGTATTATTGTTTATGGTAACAGTACAAATTCCGAAGTAATTGTTCAGATCGGACTGCTATAGCATAAAGTCACTATATGAACTGACTGATCAAAATCTAATTCTTGTACGGAAACTTTTTAAATATAACATTGCCTCTATTTAGGCGAAATCTACTTTCCCTAAGGATTACAAAAAAGGATTTAAAGCTTTTAAAGTTCAATAATTGGTATTTTGTTTAGGGTATTAAATGTGTTTCTGCGAGTTCCCAGATTGTGATCAAAGTCAGATTCGGCCAAAGAGAATGTTGCTCAGTCTTTCTCTTATTATTATTTATTAAAAATATGTGAGTTCTAAAACTTTCCAATTATATTTTTCAAGATTTGTTGTTTTAAACTTTCATGAGATATTTCAAAAATTTTAATAACTTGAAGACATGTCAAATAAAATAAGACACTTATCAAGCATAACATTGCCTACATTTTGGCGCAATTAATAATAGAAGGTAGATCACTTTCAACTACTTTTTTATTTTTATTTCTAAACGATCTGTATATGTAAGATAATAAGGGTTTCAAGTCCAAACGAACTTCAGCGAAAAATATTTTGCACTAGGCTCATACTTTTTAAGCAATATATTAATGAAATTTCTGTGGCTTTTGCTTGTTTGCTGAAAAAAAATCTAAGTATAAAATCAGGGAACATTTTTTGGCATAAAATATGCAACGCAATCAAAGCTTGTTGTATTTCTTTTCAATCGCTCGCAGCAACTTAACTCGACAATCATAAATGCATTCATGCTTCGTCTTCCTCGTATATGTTGCTTGACCGAAAAATGAAGACAGACAATCGCGTAAAATGTACCTTAATGGCAGTGCCATACTTTTCGCACAAACTGTCATGAACATTCTAATAAACGAGTATAAATAATTTTTGTGTATTCCGTTTTAGCGCTTTCGTCTTCAGAGCTTACTTTCGCTCTTGCAACTAGCTACTGGTTTTCTTCGTTGCGGCTTAAGCATATAAATCTTAGTGCAGAGTAATGCCTGCGGGTGAACTTGCCATTTACTGTGGGTAACCGCACAACTAAAAGTAGCGAGCTTCTTTTTTTTACTATTTCCAGCACTTTCTCACAGTTTTGCACACTTTTTCTCTCGGTTAAGACTTTGCAAGCGCCTGACGGCAAGGATAATATGACAAGATCCTCACAACAAAGCGCTGGTCTTTCTTTGCTCCTCGGCAGCGCCATTGTGAATTTTCATGGCTCTGCTTGGCGGACTTGTTTGCTACCTTGCGTTGGCTTTCTTCTTCGCCTGCGCTCGCTTTTGTCACTTGCAACGTGTGCAGTTGGTGCATGTGTGCTTGTTGTTGTGCCTGCTCTTGCTGCATTGTGGGCATTGTCAAGTTGGTTTACCTTCTTGGTGTAAAACTACAACTTAGCCACGCGTATCATCGTCGTGTCCTTGTCGAGGGAAGGGGAGATTGCATTTGCTCGCAATCTTTATTTATATTTCGTTATTTACCTTTTCTTGGCCCTCAACTGAAGCTTCTGATTTATTCTTATTCTTTGTGCATTTATTTTTCATCGCTTTGTGTGTGTGTGTGTCTGGGTTGTATGAGTGAAATGTTGTTGGTTTAGCTTTGTTTGGCTGTTGGTTTAGTGGCATTGTCAAATCGAAAATCCAATAAATCTGATGAATGCAAGAGCAACTTTCCAAGGCTTTAGTTGCCTTTGAGGTGTCGAGAGGATGAGTAAGAATTACGTGAGCAATAAGTTGGTGGTAAAGGCGTATAACATTTATTGGTGTAGCATGGCTGGGAAGTTTGAGTTAGTTTTATGAGGAAATTGTTGTAATGAAATGAAATCAAATAAAATATATTAAAATAAAAAAAAAAATAAAATAAAACAAAATAAAATAAAATAAAACATAATAAAATAAAATAAAACATAATAAAATAAAATAAAATAAAATAAAATAAAATAAAACAAAATAAAATAATATAAAATAAAATAAAATAAAATAAAACATAAAAATAATAAAATAAAAGAAAATAAAATAAAATAAAACAAAATAAAATAAAACAAAATAAAATAAATTAAAAGAAAAAAATAAAATAAAATAGAGTATTAAAAATAAAGAATACAAAAAAAAAATTAATTAAAATACTGTCACATTAATAAAAATTAACTTAAAATAAAGTGATATAAACTGAATCAATAAATTTAATAAAAATATTAAATATTTAATGTATGTAAATTAAAATTTAATAAAATAAAATAAATGAAATACATATTTCTTCAACTCCGAAGGATATAGATTTATATTACTGTATATATTACCAAGATAATTTACTTCAAGAACCAAACTGAAAATAAAATAAAAAGCAAGCTAAACACACTACCCAAACAAAGTTAAGAATAAAAGAGATATGTTGTTAGGAGTTTACTGTACTTAACTAACAGGTGGGGTAAACTGTGCTTTACTAATGAATAAAAATTAAAATAATTAAACCAAGACAAAACATAAGAGGTTGTTCATTTTGACTACTTGAAGCGCCGAATTTTAAGCAATTTCTTTTTTTACAACTATTGCAGTTTATATACATTCAACTTAAAATAAGTTGCCTTTATTTTGGGTGTGTTAAAAACCAATCGTGAATAATGCCAATAAATAAGTGACGCATTGCCGGGACTTACACCATACTTACACTTGTATTTACTATGTACATAGGGAAGAGTTTCAACCAAACAAAAACAATACCAAATTAACCTTAACATTTCCGCCATTATGCCACCAAGTACATCCCGATAGGGTGAGGATTGAAGTTAAAAATAATAAAATAAAACAAAATTTCTTACATACTTCACTCACCAAGTACCACTGTTCCTTGAATAAAGGATCAGGAAAGATGTTATGCGATGTGGCAGCGCGATATTGAATGCGTGGAGCGCGTGACAACAAAGCCGAGCTGCTGCGCGCCGACGCTGTTGGGTGATATGCTAGACGGGAGCCTGGTGCGTTGATAAAACCTGCACCGGGTCTTATCACATCGTAAGGGCTGTAGCCCGGTAGGCTGGTATAGGAACCATCACGTTTTTTGCGTAATTTTTCATGCTGTTGCTGCATCCATCGGACCTGAAATTAATTTACGGGTAAAATTTTTTTTTATTTTCGAGTAAGGAAAAATTAAAAAGAGTATTAAAGTGTTTATTAAGCAAGTAAAATAGAAAGTATTTGAATCACAATAACATTTGTTTTTATCACCTTTAGTAATAAAGCGCCTAATTGTAGGCAACACTTTTTTATTAATGTAAATTTTGAATGCAATTTAGTTAAGAAATGCTTTAAGTACTCACCTCGGGTTCGAAATTTAAGGCGCTATGGTGTTCGCTACTGATACGCAAAGAACGTTTAGCGACACGACGATGGTGGAAGAGATAGTAGTCTTTTAGAGAACCAACCTGCAAATAAAATAAAAAATTATTAAAATATTTGCTTATATTTAAAAAAAAATTATTTAATTATTAAAAAGTGGCAATTACTAGTATTTTATAGTATTTGTTTGAACTTAAAAATTAAATATTATTGAAAATTATTATTATTTTTTCAAAATAGTTTTTGATTGCCCGTAAAATAAATGGCATGTTTGCTACATTGAATTATGTCAAATGGAATAATGGTGTTTAGAGATTATAATAATTTTTTTAAAACTTGGGTTTTATTATAGTATACGGTATATACTTAAAAAACTTAATATATGTATCTCTATATATATTATAAGGCGTACATAAAAAGTTTTTATTTTTTTTTTTAAACAAAGTAGTAAAATTTTTTTCAATTCAATTCCACACAAATTATTCTCTAAGTGTTCTGAATGTTACTTGTCGCCATTCAGCAGTCGACCACAGCAACTGCACAACACTTTTAAATCCCATGCACTCATAGTCAATTTTAGTCACTCATACGCCATGTGGTCACCCCGAAACAAATTGCCAATAGCATAACTGTATATGTGCGCCGTTGAATAAAAATCACTTGCATACCCTTGGGCGTGTAATGAAAAGTTTTTGAACGAGTGAATGCAGAAGAAATGAGAAATCAAAAATCAGAAAATCGAAATCTGAACGTACCATGGAGAAATGTTTTTTCTGCCACTAACAAGATGTTTATTACTTTTGCTTACCGTTAGAGTGGTTTACTTCGAAATTTACTCGGCTTGAGCGGCGGCACATGAGTATTTACTACGCAAGTGTGTGTGTAAGTGTGCAACTAAATATTTTTGTGGTTGTTGTTTTTTACTTTCAAGTTTATTTCTACTCTTTTAGATATGTTGTGGAAATTCCCAGAAGCATGCGGTGGCCAAATGCCTGAAGTAGCATTTTGATTGGCAAACACTCGGAGCAAAAGTGCTGAGTCGAATGGTCAATGAAGGAGTTGTTCAAGGTAAAGGAAAATAGCATTTGTGTATTTATAGAGTGACGTGTGTGCAACTAATAGTTGAATTTAATTTTAGAGCAATTCACTAGACAATTCCTGGTTAGAAGGAAGAAAAAAATTGTGAGGTAAAGTAGAAGTAAAGTGAAGCTGGAGTGGAGCGTGTGATAAAATATGAGGAGACTGAGAGATATTTAGGGAGTCCGTATGTATGATAGAATGGTAAGACGTGATTTGAAGTACTCTTTTTCCTTCTAAATTGCTAAAAATCTCGCAAAGTATATAAATATTTTTTTACTGACAAATTATTAAGGAGACAGAGAGATATTTTTGGAGTTTATATACATGGTAAAGGCATAAGATGCAATTTTTTTAAATAAATTGTTTTTCCAATTTTGGAATATTTTCTCATCGAAAAATTTCAAGCTCAAATATAATAAAAAGACTTTTTCACTGGAGGTGAAATTTACACAAGAAATTTGAAATTTAAATAAACTTCAAAATTTTCACATTTGAGTGCATATTTACCAACACCTAAACACACATGCGCATAGTTTAAACAAACACTGCTGTTTACCGTAAATTTTTACACACGTTCCTAGCCCGCATGCTGGGAAATTCTCAAATAATTTGCTATTGAAAATTGCATCACGTTGCACAAACGCCAAGAAAATGCATGCACCAAAACTGTAAATTGGCTGTGACAGCACACACATGCCTGAACTTTCTTCTCCACGCACACATACGTATATACTCATAAGCATGTGTGGATGCATGTGAGCGCCATCAATAGACACCAAATATTTGTTCGCGAGTTTTTGATTGCGGTATTTGAAGTATTCTCAAGCAATGCACAGCGCTTTTGTTCGTAACTGTGAAGCGAGAAAGGGAAAATGATGATTTCCTAAAAGCAGCAAGTTTTACAAGTAGGGGAAGGAATGCAGGCATGGTGGAAATTAGAAAAAATATATTTGAGATGTTTGAATAACCCGGTAGGGAGTATCGATGGATAACTATGATTTTGAGAAGATTATTACCTTTAGCAGGAAATATTTATTGAAACAAATATTGTAAAAAAATTTTATAAATATTTTTATTTAGGGTTGCCAAGTAGTTTTGAGAGAAAATTTTGTAATAATTATAAAAAAAAAATTATTAAAAAGTGTTAAAGTAATTGAAATTTTTGCAATTTTATGGCGATATAATTGAATGGAGTTGCCAGATTTTATGTAAAAATAGGGTTGCCGCCTACAAGTGATTTTAAAATCTATTAATTGTTATCACATAAAATTACTTAATAGCTGAAATAGTTTTCTGCACAACTTTTATCAATTAAAAATTTATCAGTGTTGCCACCTTTTTAAACTTAAAAAATTAAATATTGCAATATTGGAAATAAGCGGATTCTAATTTTGTAAAGATAAGGTCTTCCATGAAACTAATAAATATATCTGGTTTAGATATATATACATTTTCAGTAATGAAAAATAATTGTACAAGTACATGGTAACCAAGTGAAAAAATATGTATAACAATTCCAAAAAAAACAACACGCATGCAAAAAGTTATACTTGTAAAATGATAAATAAAATATGTGTGAAATGTTGCTGTTGGTATTAAAAAATAAAATTTAGAGTTGCCACCAAACTAGTAAAACCAAAAAATTTTTAATATTCATAGCATTTAGGATTAAAACAAATTTTTTAAGGCTATCATCCATCCAGAAAAAAATCAAAAAGTGAATAATTTAGCTAAACCTTCTCTTCAGAAATAGGTATAATACATCTCTCAATTTAAATGTGGCAAAAATGTAGATACTATTAAATCTACACATATTAATCTTTATAACCATACATTTTTTATTTATGAAACAGTTCTTAATTATACTTATAAAATAATAAATAATAATAAATGTGTGATCTAGATTTTGGGACTAAAACATTTTTTTAGAGTTGCCATCGATTTAGAAAAAAAAAGCGAAAATATTTTACTAAAGCCCAACGTGTACAAATAGCTATAGAATAGCTTTTAAGAACTAAAGACAATTTTTCAGGGTTGTCTTCTATCAAGTAAAACACTGAAAACGGCATTACTTAGTATTTATATACCTTCTCTGCAGGGCAAAATACGCAATATAAATAAAATTACATATATTAATTCTATAACCATAATTTGTGATTTTTTATATTTTTTAGGAGAATAATATATATTATATTATATATACTTATATTAATTTTTTGCAATATGATTGTGCTAGCATCTTTTACGATTCTTGTACTCAACTTACTGTACTTTCAAAATAAAATCTTCTTTCCCCACAATCAAATACAAATTCATTGAAGTGTATATAAAAATTATTCACGAAAGACTAACGCAACTATTAAATTAATTTTTCACCAGTTTGTGACTCAAGTTTGTGACTCACTTCTGTATTTGCTTTGGCTTATAATTTGTCATTGCACGATTTTCGAAGACATTTCGAATTGTTCACATAAACACTATGTTTAATTATAAAACAGTATATGCATATTTACATACTTCACGTTTAGGCCAAGCTTCCTCACAGAATTTGCGCATACACTCAAACTAGTCTAATTTATGGCCAATTTTCCGAGTGACAAGTGCAAAGGCTTGGTGCTTTGAACGCAGAAACAACATTTTGTTGATCACCCACCAACAACATGCATATTCACACTTAAATATTCTATATAATGATCAAAATTATTTGCGCCGGAAATGCAATGGTTCACTGGCAGGAGGTCAGTCGTTGTGTTGAAAATCATAACAGTATTTATGAAAATAATAAATTTGCATATAAAGTAAATTAAATACAAATACACTCGCCGACCGCAATAACAGCAAACTGCAATAGTCTTTGCACATACATACATAATACAAGCAAATGAATTTATGCAGAAACAACGTCAGCTGAAAGCAGCTTATTTATAACGGTTGTTTCGAGTGAAATTTATGGTTTTATTGTAGCATAAATTTTAATTGAAATTTGCGCAAAATGTGTGAAAACCAAGTGCATCAAATGAGTGATTACTACTTAGTTTCAATGCCTAACAAGAAACGATTGCCCCGAAAAGTATGCAACATTAATTAAAGGCAGTCGGATTAAAGCCAATGTAAGTTATATTTACATTGTATGCAAATTTGTGGTCAAGAAAAGTGGTCGACATGTCTCTGTGGTTGTTGTGAGTGTGTGCAACACATGTATGTTTGTATGTATGTGCAGTTTAATTTGGTTGCAATTAAGCTGCTTTAAATTTCAATATTATTTACACGCATACACATATATGGTATATTTTTACAAGCTTAGTAAGCAATGTAAATCAACGCTCAGAATTCATGCATACGTAAGTGAAATCAGAAAAGGATTCCTTGCGGGAATTGCTGCAGTTTGCTAATCATTTAAAAGCTTCTGAGGCATTGCTGCTTGCCACATGTAGTACTAACAATCTAAGAGAGCTTAATAAGCCATTTGCATTTCTACCTTTTCATTAGCCACTGACAGTTATTTGTATAATTTCACATGCTTGTATATAATATATACTTCTATTAAAAATAGCTATTAAACATATGTGGCAATAGTTTTTAACCACATCGAATTAACATCACCTGACGACTGAAAATATATTAATTACAACTACTTACTCTTGCCAAAAATTCTGTTACAAAGTTTACAATGCATACAACGAGGTAAAAATCGCAGAAAAAAAGCTGCAGAAAGAGAAATGATCGTCTCCGCGTGGTTCAAAATAATTTATTTACAAAAATTCGCAGAAATCCCCTTAGAAAATAGATTATTATCTCAAGGGAGATGGATATATCGACCAGATCAATGTCAAGACTAATCCGAGATAATATCCACATTAAAGCCTATCGTCGGTCAATTGGGCATCTTCTGAAATTAAAGACTCAACAAACGTTCAACGGCCATCAGAGTATCCTATTATTCCAAGGGACCAACGTTGTCACCATCTAGTTCTTGTAAGAGTTTGGTAAGGAGTTTCCTGTAAAG